GCCTTCATAGAGAAGTTCTATCCATTCTTCGAATAAAGAGGGAGAAAAGCCGGAAAATAGCTTTGCATGACAGGAATCAGCTTTGTTTACTTTTCTTTCCTCGGTGCTTACTGGAGGGCTGGATTAAAGCTAATGCTTGTTCTAAAATTGTTTTGAGAGTCAAAACTGGAGAGGCCTTTCTTTAGGGCAAACTTTTCCTGTGAAAGTATGTCATTATCTTTGCCATTTCTGTTGAATTAAATTTTGCCAGAAGAGATTTGTCATACCAGGGCCATTGAGCCTTTCCTTTCATTTCTAAAATTGTACATAAAAGAAAAAGAATTAGGTAAACCAAACAGATGAAAACTCCTTTGTGCTCTGCACCTTCACACAAGGATTTAATTTCAGTTTATCCTGTATACTCAGTCATGGTTTAGTCTCAAGGTTTTTAAGTATTGGGACAATGAGATAATATTAGCATTTAAATACAAAGAGTTGAGCAAGGTTTGTGGTCATGATCATTTGCCTTTTGTTCCCATTCATTAGGTATTTTGTGTATTTTTGCAATCCCCCCACCTTGTCTTTGTTTTCATCTCCTTTGTAGGAAATTAATTATCATTGAAACTCAAGCCTCTTGACAAGTAATGCCAAGCAAGGGTAAGAATTTCTTCCCATTCCCCATTCCGCAAGATAGTCATTGTGCTATTTCTGTTATTCAGAAGAGTGGCTGTATTAGGTTTCTCAACCCCCAAGGCATTTATTAACAGTACATTTAGAGTGTTCTCAGAGTGCTGGGGGCTCCAAAAGGCATTAAAAAGATTTCGTCAGAAATAGAGGTAGAGTAAGGAGTCTATAGTCTGTATGGGAAGAGAGAGGTTATATGCACGTGAAATTCTGAACATTTAACAGCAGCCTACAAAGAAATACCAATGGAGCCTTGAGTGTGAGAAAATTGCCCTAGAGAGAGAGAAAAACATCACTCCAATTCCCATCTTCCAGGGCTGACTGTTCATTAACTGCTCCCTTCTTGCATATTTCCCCAGATTTTAGTTGAGATTAGAGACTTTCATTCCATTTCTCATCTTAACTAAGAAAATCCATCCTGGGTTGTCTTCAGGTTGCTGCTCCTGCTAGGTCCTGTTGGTGTAGGCTTTGAGGGAATTGAGAATCCCACATTCCAGGTGGTGCCTGACTGTGGCTCTACCTGACATGACTCTCCAGTTTTCCTTGTGAGGGGGAAGCATCTCCACCTGTTCTTGGCTTATTTTCAGGGTCTTCTTGCCACCAGATTTCCTAGAGTCTTGTTCACACTGTCCCACCATTCCTTCCACACTTCCTTGACACCCTACAAAACAAACAAGCAAACAGAAAAGCCACAGCTCTTTTCAGGCCAGTGCACCCGACAGGTGCTATGGTAGCCTGTGAATGGGAGCTGTTGGTCTTTGACATTATTGATGGTTCTCTGCAGGGCTCTGGGAGCAGTGGCCCTGGACAAATAGGATAAAATCACCCAACCCAAGGCCACAGGTTTTCCCGCACTCTGGGCCATTCAGGATTGGTAAGCTCCATTCTGGTTCATTCCACAAATGGCTTAAATCATTTTCGTTGTTTTGTTCAACTCACTCAGGAAAGGAAAGCATAGACATTTAAATTGTTTTAGAACAGCATTTCACACCTGCTATAGACTCCAGAGCCAGCTAAATGCAAATATTGGCTCCAAGGTTGCTTTGGGCTGACTGTGTTCTTGAGGGCAGGAGAAGCAAAAGCAGCCCAAGAATCTTACTACCTTCAAAAGTGACTAAAAGACAGTTTCTCTTTAGAAAGTGAAGGCAAGCAGAATCAGCCACCCCAGTGTGCCACTTTGACATGTAGATGGTTTTGAGCTGAAGGCAGTCAAGACCCAGCAGACTCACGAAGAACTTTTACCTCTCCCTTAACTGTCTAAAAGAATTTAGAAAGGGGGCCTGGCCCAGACAGTGAGCTGTTACCAGAGAGAACTTTTTATCTGAATGACCTATCTGTATGGAAGAACAAATATCTAATTACCAAATACCTGATCTTCTTCTTGTCGTGTGAATTACTGTCCTCCCCTTTGAAGCCCCAGACTCCTGTCCAATTCCTTAGCTGAGGATGGTGTATGAGCCTCAGTCTCCCTATTCACCCTTGGGTCTCACATTTTTATGGGGCTCTGGTACATATGAAATGAAATTGCTTTTTCTCCTGTTAATCCGTCTCAGGTCAATTTAATTATTAGACCAGCCACAGAACCTAGAGAGGAAGGAGGAAAAAAAAATTTCCTTCCCTACCAAAGTGAGAAAACAGGTGCCAACTAAGTATTGCTTTTTTCCCCCCTAAAGATCTTTTAATTTAAAGAATAATTGAGTAATTGAGAATATAGTCAAAAGAACTAGAAATCAGTTGATCTAGGCTCAAAATATTGCCTGTTTCCTACTAGTTCTGTGTTCTTAGACAAGATTTTAAAAATAAAATTTTTACTTTGAAATAATTTAAGACAAAATACTACAAACAGTTCCCAGGTACCCTTCACTCAGTTCCCGTCAACAAAGATATCTTACATAGCCAGGGTTCGTTGTCAAAACCAAGAAATTGACATTGATTCAATTCTATTAACTCAAATACAGACCTTATTGGGATAGTTTTTACAGGTACTCTGTGTGTGTGTGTGTTTGTGTGTGTGTGTTTGTGTGTGTGTGTGTGTCTATAATGTGTATGTATGTGTAGCTCTATGAAGTTCTGTCACATGGATAAATTTGTGTATACTTTTGATTTTTAATGCACACTTATCTTGAAATCAGCCTTTGTGTGAATAATTAGTGGCAAAATAGCAAAACATGAAATTATTAATCTGGAAATCTCAATGTAATACTCTTAATTAAAAGACTTCTGGATTAGGAAGTAGAAGGTCAGATTCTCATTGCAGCTTTCCAACTGGGGAAGAAATGAGGGAGCTAAACTAAACAGAAATCTTGACTTCTTGTGGTTCCCGCCCAAACCTAGGATTTATCCTTGCTCTCATCTTTTGCTGCACTAACCCTCCTCCCCAACATCTACTTCATTAGCAAGCCTTCTGAAATACTCCCCAAATCTGTCTACTAATCTTCCTTTGCCAAGATTACTGCAATGGCCTCCACATGTATTCCCTGTACAATCCATTATCAACGCAGCAGCCAGAACTATCTTTCAAAAATACAAACCAGATTATGTTATGCCTCTGCATAACCCCTCTCCAGTGGCTTCCCATTGCCCCAAGAATACAATCGGAGCTCCTCACCAGTGCCACGGGGCCCCTGTGATCGGCTGTTCCCACCCCACCCATATTCTCCCTCCCTCTCACTGTGCTCCAGCCACACAGGCCTCCGTTACCTCTTGGGTCAGCCGCAGCAGGCCTACTTGTGACCTTTGTCCAGCTCTTCCCTCAGTCGGGTGTGCCCTGCTCCTAGTTTTGCTCTGATAATTAGCTCCTTCTAGTAATTTAGATATCTGGCCTCTTCAGTGACACCTACCTGGTCTGTCCAAATTAGACACCTCCCAAGTCACTTTCCTTCATATCATCCTGTTTATAGACTCTGTAGCATTTAACATAATCTGAAACTATCTTCTGCACTTGATTGGACTTGTTTCTACTTGACTAGTGAGTTACTCTTCCTTAGACTGTAAGCTCCTTGAGTAGTAAGGCTTCTGAAACTGTCTGGTTCTCCCTGCATCCCAGAACCTAGGACAGTACCATAGAAGACATCAATAATTATTTTTTGAGTAGATGCATTCATGCACCAGGTAATCACAAAGGTTTATGAAATTGAAAAAAATCACTTAATCTAATGAAATAATTTGATGTTTAAGATTATTAAATTTTTCCATATTTAGGACTCTTAAGAACATTATGATTAAATTCCTATATACTACAGATTTCCTTTTATGTACCCATGTATTACTAACAGATCTTTTCCTGAGGCAGGATCATTTTAGATGGGAAGGATACGGTCTCTGTACTCTGGTGACAGGTGTCTGCCTGAACATGTCAGACAGAACACCTTAGAGCTTTGAAGTGGTAAAGGTGAACTACTTTGTTCGTATCCCCCATCAGCTAAGCTTTTGCAATAGAGAAGACCATTGTTTTCATATAGAATGTGCAAGAAACTTAGTACCGTGTGGTTTGACATTTGGCCAGACTTGCTTTTATTATTTAATTTAGGCGAACATATCCCTTTTCTTTTGAGTTTAACATGTAAGTAATGGCTCCCAGAGCTAGGAGACACGGAGCTGCTCATGGTCTGATTTAAGTGAAAAAAATACAATTTATGTCTTCTGCTTCATTTTTTAAATTCCTGTTTAACTTTCATTTTATTGTCAGAGCCACATAACCTAAATGTCACTATATTTACTTTTGATGGTGTTACCAGCCACTTGTGCCTTTTAAGCAGTTTTAGAAATGTAGCGCAGTGTAGGAATATAAATGCATGTTTTCAGACATGTGTTATGCTGAGTTAATGATTTACTCCTGCTGAAGGAGTAGTTTCTGAGAGAAATCGTTAGTCTTTCATTAAATATTCTTATCAAAGGTTAATACATTTTCTCTAATTAAATTCTGGAGTTCTCTTTTGAAAAATGTATGCACCCATATTGCTTCCAGTGATGTAAATATTGACATCTTGGTTCCTTTTGTTATGATTTTATTGTTGTTATTGCAAATGAATTAATTTCCAAGAAAATATGTGCATATAAATATGGAAGATGATATCTTAAAAGCATTTTGCCGTTTTCACATTGTTATGCCTATAGCTTATAGGGTGTTTACTTGAGAAGTCATTTTCTTCTGTTGATTTTTTAAAATGGTGTGTATTAATGGTGAGTGTGAATTTATATTATGAAAAATGTGAGTGATGGAATATGATTACATATTTCAAAGTAGTAATTTATGTGAAAAATTGATGCTCTGAATCATTTACTACCAAAATTTGTTCTTTTAGTGATACCCCCTGCCCCCTCCTTAGGTCCTCTTAATGGTTCTATATTGTTTTGGAGAGCCAAACACGACCTGAAGAAGGTAGTGGGGGAGAGGGAGGAGTCTGAGAGGTATTAAATGAGCAGGCTGCTTTCCCAGAAGCCTCTCACTTACAGGATCTGAAATGACTGCTTTTGGGGAGAAGTGATATTCATACTGATGGGAGTAAAAATGCATGCTCCTTTTTGAGGAGCTTTTGTTTTCATAATAGAACTTTTTTGTACAAATGAAAGGATGTTTTAAAGGAGAGGACCATTTGCAATTGAATGTTGTCTATTCTGGTAGCATCTGACTGAGAGTAATTTTCACAAATTCTCAGTATTGCATGCAATCATTGCTTAGAAGTTGGATCTTTTTTTCTTTATGATAGAATTGTACTTTCCATTCCTGTTTTAAATCTCATCCATGCTTTTTAAGTGGTGTAATAAATTGTTTTCTTATCTGCAGGATGACTGAGTGAATTTGTAATATGTGTAATTTGCCCAAAAGCATAGTTCTGTGACCTGTATAATCCAAATGTATGTTATGGCTTTTGCACTGGATAACTTTCAGGTGACTTTTGTTGGCCTGCAATCTTATTAGTGAGATTGATTCAGGGTACTCGTTCAAAGTCACCTAATTTGTCTTCCTCATGTCCTATGAATTGAATCTCTGAGCAGAGCAGTCATTGGATATAGGACAGACCTTGGACTGTGTGTATCTGTCATTTTTTTTAATGATAGGGGGAGAGGCACTCTGTGAGTAGTGATGTTCCATGATGATTCTTGTTTGTTTTTTTTTTAATATATAAAAAAAAATCTATTGCTGTGGAACAAACTACCTCCAAACTTGGCTGATTCAAACAACCATTTTAGTTTGCAGGTTGGGGATTCAGAAAGGGTTCAGCTGAGTGGTTTGTCTCTGATCTGTATGCTGTCAGTTGAAGTGACTAGGGCTGGAGGATCTGCTTCTAAGATGTCTGGTGCCTGGGCTGGGAGGCCTGAGAGTTGATGCTAGCTTTTGGCAGGAGGCTCAGCTAGGGCTCTTGGTCTGAGCACTGCAGTGTGGTTCTTCATGTGCTTGGGTTACTCCCAGAATGGCAGCTAGGTTTTTAGAGGGAGCTTTCCCGAAAAAGTGTGAGTGGAAACTTTAATGTTCAAGGCTTCTTACGACTTAGCCACATAAGTCCCTAAATACCACTTCCTCTGCATTTTATTTGTCAAGTAAGTCGCTAAGACCAACCCAGACTCAAAGAGGGGAATTATCCTCCACTTTTCAATGGGAGAAGAAGCAAAGAATTTGAAGCCATGTTTAGTGGCTGATGTTGGGGTCACATCAGGATAGCATTTCTTTAATAGCAATTTATGCCTCTCCTAAGGTTCAAGTGGCTTAAAGTACAAATACTAATAAGTAGTTCCATGTATTGGGACCCTATTCCAAGTGGTGCAGTCTTCATTTAAACAAAACTCTGATGTAATTCATCCCAGTCATTTTATGGATATAAGCTCTAAAAGTGGCATGACTGTAATCTCATAATATCTAGGAAGATGTCAGTCCTCTGAGTCATTGTGCAAACTAGTTTGTCAAGAGAGTTCAAAGGAATCATAGATCTTACAGCTGGAAATGACTCTAAGGGATTACATCATCATTATCACCTTCCAAAGTGATGTGTTGAGCACCACCGGGTGCCAGGCCCTGGGAATGCAGGGAAGAATATGACAGAAATCTTGCCCTTGAGACATAGTTGAGAAAATAGGACTGATGCATAAGAGGTGAAATCCATGGAATCTAGACTGAGTTGCAAACAAAAGTACAGGTGATATGTGCACAAGAAGGAGAAGTGATCAGTAGAGGCTGTTGGGGTTGGGGAAGGGTGTAAGGACACAGGCTCCCCATCACACTGAAAGCATGAAATCCAAAGTGTCGGCCATTACCTGGATCCCTGCTTCCTCTCATCTCCTTTTCTTCCTCTTTTCCTCACTCACCGGCCTTCTTCCTTGAATATGCAGACATTTCAGGACCTTTGCATTTGTTCACTCCTCTGTCTGGAATACTCTTTCCCCAGATATTCCCCTGACTTCCTTTCTCACTCCAATCAGTTCTGGTCAGACGTGCTCTCCTCAAGCCTTCCCTGACTAACCCCCTGTCTACTCTCTACCCTTCATTGCTGCATCTCCATTAGGGCTGGGCCATCGTCCACCTCGTTCATTATTGTATAGGCAACATCTAGAACAGTGTCTGACAAATAGCTGGTGCCCAATAAAAAATGGTTGAATGAATAAATGAGTAAGTAAATGTAGAACCTTGAAACAAGGGAAGGATTTAGCAAAGTAGAGGACAGATGGTGGTGTTGGCTGCCTGTGAGGTAGAATGAAAGAGAAACGAAAGTATACATGATACATTCATAGATCATCTGTTTCAATACCCTGACATCAGGGGTCCTCATTTTACAAACTTGATTCCTTCATACCACCCTCTTCTTAGCTCTGTGTGATAAAGACTATAATAGCGCTTTCATAGGGAGTGATTCATTTGGACTAGAATGGCTGGGTCATACTTGGTCGCAGTTGTAGGAGAACTTGCCATTCTTGAAAAATACTCTGTTTTATACCACTTCTTTGTCTTTACTCCTGTTCATATTTCTGTCTGGAATATCCTGTATTTTGTCTTGACCTATTGAAATTCCACACAAATGGTCCATTTCCTCCATTGTACTTAATATTTACATGATTTGATTATCACATAAAGACAGTCTACTTCAGTTGGAAGTATTTGAGTACATGTATGTCTTTCATTTGAATGTAAACCCTTAGAGACCAGAGCCTGGGTCTAGTTCATCTTTTATTTATCCATATAGTACATAAGAGAGTCTTCATAAAAAGGTGTTAAATTTAATTGGATATGAGAAGTCAGAGTACTTTAGCTTCTAAAGTGAAGCGAATAGATATGCCAAGAAATCAGGAGAGGCAACGCTAAATTCCCAAGGAAATGAAGCAATAATGCGGTTTCTTCATCCATGGATTTTTCTGGTTGATTTGATCTGTTTAGCTTCCTTAGATTGCATTCATGATTTGTGAAGGGCCTGTAGAATCAAGAGTGTACACATTTTATTTCAGTTATCTCTTACTGAATACAGCATGCGGCCCTAAAATGTAGTGGCTTAAAATAGCAACAGTTTATTATTTCTCACAATTTTGTGGGTTGGCCAGGTTCACATGAGTGGTTGTTTTGTTCCGCGTGATAGTGGCTAGTGTCATCAATACAGCACATCCGTTTGGTTTCAGAACTTGAGTGGGACTGAAATGGCCAAGGCAGCTTACTCACATGTTATGTATTGGCTGTAGACAGGAACACCTTTGTTTTCCTCAGTGAGGCCTCATTTCTTCCGGTATCTAGACTGGCCTCCTTATGGCTTGGTGGCTGGTTTCCAAGTGTGTGTGAATGTGGAAGCTGCCTCTTTTCTTGAGCCCTAGATCTGGAACTGGCACAGCATCACTTCCATCACATTTTGTTCCTCAAAGTGAGTCATAGGCCAGCCCAAATTCAGAGGGAGGAGAAGTAAACTCTATTTCTTGATGTGATGGGTAGCATGCATATACAGGGATGGGAGGAATTTTTTTCTTTTTTTATTAACAGACTATTTTTTAGAGCAGTTTCAGGTTTATAGCAGAACTGAGCAGAAAATACAGAGAGTTTGCACATAGCCCTTCCCACTCATACATATATACTCCCCTACCCTCAACATCCTTCATCAGTGTGGCACCTTTGGTACAATCGATGAACCAACATGGACACATTATCAACCAAAGTCCATAGTTTACATTAGGGTTCAGTCTTAATGTTGTACATTCTATGGGTTTTGACAAATGCATAATGACATGTAGCCACCACTATAGTATCATACAGAATAATTTAATTGCCCTAAAAATCCTTTGTGCTCCATCTAGTCATTGGGATGGGAGGAATTGTTAATGGCAGTGTTCACAGACAATGCACATTAGCATGCTTAGATATTTATTAGCATTATCTTTTCAATGAGAAGTAGGATGTTATTAGTAAGTCCCAGGCCTCTGAGTATTATTTGAACCCTTTGGTTTTGAATTGTTTATAGAGAGAAGTGCTGTGAACATTCTGGGCATAATTGAGTAGCAGCTGAAGATGATCATGGTCTGTGTTGCCCTTGTTTTCCACTCTCTTGCCATTTGTATTGTGTTGTACCTGTTCTCTTAGTTTGAGTGGAGGTTGGAATCAGAAGCCAAAAGATCTGAAGGGTAGTCCTGGACTTGTCCTCTGGTTCTCAGTGTAACCTAGAGCAAGTGACTCCAGCAGCAGGGTAGGTGAGCATAGGCTACAAAGCAAAGGAAACAAGCCCGTTGCTCTGGCCTGATGTCATAATGTTAACAAATGGAGGAGGGAAACTTGAATTACTCAACTGCCATTTGGCTTCCATCTTCTCTGTCCTAACTGGTTTCTCTGATTCCGTTCTTGCTTCCTCCAATTCATTTCCCACACAGCAACCAGAGATCTTTAAAAAATGTAAATCAGATCATGTTATTCTCCAGCTTAAAATACCCCAGTGGGTTTCCATTGTACTTATAAGAAAATACAGAGACATCATAAATTGGCTCCTGTTCCCACCTCTTCAACTTCCCCTCCTAGCACTCTTCCCTTCCTCTTTATGTTTCAGATACATTTTATTTTTCTGTCTCTGGAGCCCCACAGGTTCATCCCATCTTAGGGCCTTTGCACCTGCTGTCCCCTCTCTCTCTGGAACACTCTTCCCCTCAATCCCTGCATGACTGTCTTTTCATTTAAGGCTGGGTCCAGATGACCTCAGAGAGACCTGTCCTGACTCCCAGACTAGCAGTAGACCAGGCACTCTCCCTCACAGTTTTTCTGTTCTGTTTTTTCTAACACTGAACCTATTTCTCAGTTTTCCCACATTGAACATGGGGTTGATAATAATAGAACATACTTCATAGAGTTATGAGGATTAAATTAGTTAATATTTAAAAGGGTATCTGGCATGATATGCTGTCAAACGTTAGGTGTATTATTATATCACTCTTCACTACCTGAAGCTGTCCTGCTTATTTATTTGCTTGTTGATTGTCTTTCATCCATCACTAGATTTCCAGCTCTGGCTGCTGTGTTCTTGCAGAAGCTCAGAGAAATTGTGCTGTCTTATTCTTGTCCTATCTGTATTCCCATCATGTTGGCATCTACAGTAGATCTTCAACATGTACTTATAAATAAGTGTATAGGCAGAATGGTCATCCTGAACAGGCCAGTAAAATCTGTGGTAACAAGAAATTAAAGCTTAAGAAAGTTGAGTGGCTTGTAAGAGATCATTTAGTTGCTCAAAATGAGTGTAAGATTTCTGATCCAGAAGAATTGTATTCCAGGACACTGAAAGAACTTGGGGATAATTAATTATTGTTTTACTTTTATGGAATTTTGAAGAGTGTAAAGATGTCAGAATTATGAAGGTTAGGTGAATGCAATCCTGATTTTCAATAGTGAGGAATGTGGGTTCAAAAACCATAGGCCAAGAGGGGGCTTTATGCTACTTGTAGGCAGAGTTCTAGAATAGACTGTTAAAAGGATGGTTTGTGAATGTTTAGCACACTGTTGTTTGGGGGAAAGTGGGGCACCCTCAGAGAAAAGAGGCCTGGAAAAATAAATGAGTTTTTTTCAGGTCACCACTTAGTTTGGTGTCAGAATCGAGATGAGAATAAAGACCTCATGATTTTGTTCCTGGGGTGTTTTCAGACTGGGATCTGAGCTCCTCAAATACTGTATGCCATAGAATCCTTTTTTTTTTTCTTTCATGTTATTATTTTGAAGATAAGCCAGGGGGAAAAAGCCACTTTAGAACACAGTTTCTCAGTTGGGGAACATTGACCTTGGAAGTTCAAGGACTTTAGTCTTAGAGGTCCATGAGAGCTAATTCCCCTTCCCACTCCTTTAAAAGAGGTCTGTGCAGTGCTCTAGGTCAAGAAACTTGGCCCTATGATATTTTGACAATTTATCTGATTAACCAAACAGTACTTGTCCATCTACGGAAAATAGCACCTGTTCCTCCATCAGACCCACCCTATCCTATACGGCGGCCTCAACCACATGTGGCCATTGAACAGGCATAATGTGACTGCTCCAAATTGTGTGTCCTGAAGTGGAAAATGCATACTGGATTCCAAAGACTTAGTTCAAAAAATAGTGTAAAATATTTCATAATTATTTTGAGTATCTGCAAAATAATATTTTTGGTATATTGGGTTGCCTAAATATATTATTAAAATTAATTTCACCTCATTTTTCTTTTTTAAATGTGGCTGCTAGGTCACTAGAAAATTTGAAATTACTTGTGTGGCTTGCATTATTGGATAGTGCTGCGTTAGAACCTGTTGCCTCTCTTGGGAGGAAAGGTTGAAGGAATTGATGTGAGGGTGAGGTGGTATGACAGCTACCTTCAGCCATCTGGACGGCTCTCATTCATAAAAGAGATTCTCTCTGTACTGTATTTCTCAGAAGGTGGAAGGAAGACAAATGAATAGAAACGTCAGGTTAATTTAAAAAAGACCTCTCTAA